TCTAAAGAGGTTCAGAATCTGATGATCTCTCTCCCTCTCCTTAGTTTATCAATGGTAATAGACGACTGAGTCAAATATTCCACTTCCTCACAACAGTCCACTAATAAACAAAAGCCGAGCGCAAACTCTTCTTTTAGAAGACTACATGCAACTTAGAGATTCTAATCTTCTTTTCAAGTGGGTTCAGATTCCGGGTGACTCATCCGTGTAAAATTTTTCCCAGAAACTACGAAAGTGTGTCATGTATGAATTTTGCGTCTTATTATGCTGATTTGTATAGAAAAAGCTAATAGTATTTTCCCCTGAAAAAGTTTAGCTAAACGACTCCTGAAATTCTTTCGACTCCTAGAAGCGACGGGAATACCTAGAATCCCAACTTGACCTACGCATCATCCTAATCCCCAAAGATCCAGGAAGTCCACCAAACCCACTTACAAAACATCTCAAACCCTTCTAAACCACCCCAGACCCCTCACAATTTACCCAAATCCCCCTTTCAACCCCTTAACCCCCCGTATAACCCGTTAAAAAGCGTCGGTTTTTAATCTGTCATCGCTCGTCATTTGTTACATCCGGGACCCGCTGTTTCGACGCATGCGCAGAACCCGTGTTTCCTCAACCTCAACTTTGCCACCAACTTCAGTCCTTATTTTAGTTGTAAGTTTCATTCTTTTGATGGGTTTCTCGGGCTTTTAAGCCTGCTAAGAAGGTAGTTTGATCTCTCATCTGTCATAGAGATGGGGAATAAAGAGCCTAGGACGCACATCGAGGCATAAATAAGAGCAAATATGTCGAGATGTCTTGAGTTGTCTCCCCTTTTCCCAGTTAAAGTCCGGTTGACATCAATGTAGATTTTCATGCAATAGAAAGACGTCATGAAGGAGGTCATGAGCCCGATTGGCGTAGTTGAACATGGCATAAATTTTGGCATAGGTCTAATAAAGCTAATTGGGAGAGGAGAGACGTCCAAGCCCCAATTACGGCAGTTGAAGGTCACTCCAAAAGGGAAGGAAAGACACAAATATGTACGACTCGTATATCACCCTTTTACAGGCCTATGCTCCAAATTAGGCCTTGGTTCCCTCAAGTTTAATAAATTAGGGGGTGAGATCGATGTTTTTTACGTGAGGCAAAGTGGTGAAAATACCTGAATGTTTTGTATGGATGGATTAATTACCTTTTGTTGTGGTGAAAGCTGGTTGGTCGAGAATCAGCTGTTAATTTTGTTTACAATGAACCAGAGCACAAAAACGAGTCAGAATAGCAAAAAATTGGTCCGAATCAAACCATCTTAGGGTCTTATGAACTAGTGTTTTGTGTTAATGTGCTAGGAATGGATATGGAGTTGAAACAAAGCAGGTCTTTTGACAGAGCTAATGTAGATGTTTGTTTGTTTATGTTGCATAGTTTTCCCTTTTTAACTTATTTCTTCAGTTGAAAGTGGAACTTTAAGTGTGGACTAGGGATATTAGTTCTGTTGCTTACATATGAGTGTAGTAAATGAAGGATTTACATCCTTGTTAAAAGTTAGAAATTATTGATAAACCTGTCGTTGTTATACATATCTGTTTATTTATCTATTGTGTAAAATCACACACACACACTATTAAATGTGCGTGCACACAAACTACTTCATGTAAACTTATATTCACTTGCAAATATAAATGTAAACAAACAAAGAAAATGTACACAATCATAGATATGATTACAAATACACACACCCATAAACCTGCACAGAAATTAATAAAAGTAGAAATAGAAACACAAATGTATCATTAGAATCTTTGAATGTATACAAACATAAACAAACAAATGTATTTCCAAACTTTTATAGGAATAAAAGTTTTCATATGTGTCTATAAACATACATAGCTAGACATAAGTATTTACATACACACACACATGAATACTCATACCCAAATAACAGGTATAGATCCATGTACCCACACAATGAGACGCACAGGTACATACCCACACACTGCCTTAAAGAAATGTACACGCCCACATACAGCACTATTGAATGCACACGCCCACACAGTCCTAAATTGCATGAAGTAAAATGGCACAGAAAAACAGATACCGGTATAAAGAAACCCAAGGCATGGACACATACATAAAGTATATATATAGGTATGCATGGAATCACACTCGAGAAACCAAAGACAAAGGAAACTTTTGATTTTCAGATACAAGAGAGCATAGACATGCATGAAGATATAGATATAGATGTAAATATGGACATACAGGGCATAAAAATCAGTGCAGACAAAGAAAGTTCCCAGTGTATTTGATTATATTGGAAAATGGTGATAAGAATGTTGCATGGTTAGCAAAGTTAGTGGTCTGCTATCTTCAGGTAGTGAAATAGTACTTCACTTTTGAGTTCTTGTAAAGAAAAACACTGAAAGGCATTACTTCATGTTTATTTAGGAAAACCAGATTAGATTTGTTGTTTATCTTGTGTTCACAGAAAGAATTATTGCAGTATTAGGAATGAATCATCTGTTTGTGCATGACAAAAAGTAAACAAATAGTCATCACTTGTTGCAGAGCAGTCAGGAGGGAATCAGAAAGTTAGTAGTGTGTCAGTAATTATTATTTCACAACAATGATATTATGTAAAGCCTTTATTCAATGGGAATATCACAGATGTGAGATTAACTTTGTTTTATAAGGAAGGAGTAGGTTTTATCAATTAGAACAGGGCTATACCCCATCATTCTTTTGCCTTAGGATCTATTTGTAGATGGTTCTTGTTTGTTGTTTCTGTAATAAAATCTATGTTGTGCTTTTCATAAGCTTTTTTTAATCTTTGTATTTGGTTTCATAATAAATTTAACTTATCAGATAATTTGTATTATCAGTGTTGTTGCCAGCTGTTCACTATATCAACATATCAGAGATTTTGATATACCATAACACTTCCTTGTTCCATGATTATAACCTTGTTCCATTTGGCACATTTCTCAGGGTAAGGGTGCAAGTGACACTGTCTTGTGTGACCAGTTATGTTTGTTTTATCTAGATGAGTTTTTCCTAGTTATAAGATACATGTTTTAATAAGATACATGTTTTTGGATGACGTAGGGAACTAGACGATAGGTCAAATGTAGGTCTGACTAGGATTTAACATTTAAAGTAAACTCATTACATTTTCTGGAAGTATGGATTATACTGTATTATTACTTGATATTTGATATTTTTATTTGTTTGTATAGCATTTGTTTTGGTGCATTTGGCTATATTTTACATATGCTGTGAATATCATAAAAGTTTTCTCTCACTGATACTTTTTGTCCAGGAATTTGATTATGGTCTTTGATAATTTACATTATTAGATAAATTATCAAAAAGAATATAAAATTGTGTATGCATAAATGATCACCAGTGAATATTAAGCTGCAGTTCACATTGTATAAAAGATTACTTTTCTTATGTCTGATTTTGTGATCTAACTAAATTGTATTGATAGATTATTTTGTTGATTTACATATATACAACAAAATTATATTATTCACATTTTGATATAGTGTTACTTGTTTTTAGTTGTAAAATGTAAATGGTATGGCTATCTTCTGTCTACTAAGCTATTTATTGGTTTCTGTTTCAGGTGATCCACTATCGGATATAGGATCAACTTTAAAAAATGTCGGTGCTAAACTTAAGTGAGGATATGGTGGAGTGCCCACTATGTATGGAGCCGTTGGAGATGGACGACCTAAACTTCTTCCCGTGTACGTGCGGGTACCAAATATGTCGGTTCTGTTGGCATCGGATCCGGACAGACGAGAATGGTCTCTGCCCCGCCTGTCGGAAGGCCTACCCTGAAAACCCTGCAGACTTCAAGCCCTTATCGCATGAAGAGTGTGTATCTTATAATCCTTTTTGTGTTTTTGTTATTGTATTTTCTTTGTTTCTAAATATTGAAGAGTGTTGGTAATGATGTGATAGAAATGCGGTTTTTAGAGAGAGTTGTGTTTGGGAGTCCTATTACTTGGCATAAAAAGTTTTGTTTATTTTACCTTGCTCTTGATTTTACATTTTGATATCATGGAAATAAAATTTCATATAAATTAGTAAGCTACCACTACCTGTTTATTAAAGGTCTGACAGCTATTAGGAAAAAAGCTATATATTAATGGTATCTATTTATTTTTCGGTAGAGATACCTGAGTGATAAATTAACTTTTCTTATTTTTATTATATAGATTATATATATATATATATATATATATATATATATATATATATATATATATATATATATATATATATATATATATTTATATATTTATGTTGAAAGCTAAGGAATATGTTGTCAAAATCAAGTAAGGCATAACATGCATTACTTCACTCTTTCAGACTGCAGCGAATAAGGCAGGAAAAGCGTCAAAAGGATGCGCAACGTAAGCAAAAGGTGACGGAGAACCGAAAACACCTCGCCAATGTCCGTGTGGTGCAGAAGAACCTCGTGTTTGTGGTTGGTCTCTCTACGCGGCTAGCAGATGCGGAGGTAATGTGCTTTCTTTTCTGAGTGACAATATAGAGGATTGCTACTCATTATTTGCTCATCCCTTATTGTATGCAAACTTTCTTTTCTTTGGCTTTGGGTTGTCTCCAGGTATTTCCTTAGAGAAACAACATAAAGCTATGGCTGCATGAAACTCTTACGCGATCTCATTTCCTTCATGAATGAATCGAGTGCATTAGTTTTACTGTATGATCAGTAGATTCCTGTCATGGGTGCTCCTTGTTACTTAATCTATCAAGGACATAATGCAGACTGTGTCTCAAAAACAGCTGTGTTATTTAGCCTATCAGGAGTGGCTTCATTTTTGTAGCATCAGTGATATGCAAATGTTTTTCTTTGTGGGATAAATACTCAGACCTGCAAAATCACAAGTTGTCTGCATTGTCCAAAACAAGGAAATGTTTTCATGGACTGTGTTTGCTAAACATGCCAGATATTAATTATGTGAATTCCAGTATATCCCAATAAG